GCCACTCGGCGCCCGAAATTTGTCGTTTAGATACACTACAAGCCGCTTACCTATTGCTTATTCGCTGTGAGTTTTTTGCCTTGGTTAATGATTCCTTGAACTGGACTTACCACAGTTTTTTGTTGTTTTTTATTTCTCTAAACGTTCAGCTGTTGTAAGTTGTTAATAAGAATAAGTTTTATTGTATTGTTAAAATATTTCAATAGGGGAGGCAATAAATTGGAAGGGCGATTTAAAAGACGGCGCAAGAGCATCTGCCGTTTCTGAGAAAGGCCATTGTGGCGGTCCCACCGACCGACCGAGCGGAGTGGTCAGTGCGGTGACGTCACGGGTTGGGGCCGTCAACCTGACGCCTGCAACCTTTCCCTCTTTAATAAATCCAATATAAACCTGCCAATCATCATTTTGTAATGCTCTTTCTAGTTTTAGCTTGACTGCAAACGTGAGAGTAGGAATTGTAGTCTTTTTTTTTCAGGATCGTTTTTAGTTACTAATTATTTATTACAATACTTTATATTAACATAATTTACAGTCTTTTTGATGTTTGAATGTATAATTATTTATTATTATAATAATGATGATTAATACACTGATATAACAAATAAAAATAAATAACGCATGCGCTCGTCCCTTATATGAGTGTTTTTACATATGTATGCAATAATTAGTTACAAATTAATTTAAACTGCCTACATAAATGATTAACCTTAATTTTTATTTATTATTAACACAAATAATTAACATTAAGATTTTTAACATTAAAACATGCAGCCATATACGACCCAACCATATTAAATCGCAAATCTTCTTATTCGCCGAAGTCTACAAAGATATGTAACTTGTAGAATAGATCGAAATAATATTAACAATGTTTAACAACTGACCTAAATCAAACATTTCTGTATACTTAATAAGTATAACTTATCTGGCAATGGAAAGCAATATTAATAAATCATAAAAAACAGTAATCATAAGGTACACAGAAATATGACCTTGCTCAACATTCTGGGTAAATCCCTCATGATGCAAACAAGTTGGGTAACGTACAGATTTACCTTATAACAAATGTTTTACACGGTCAAATATGTGCCGATATGGAAGTTGTAACCACTGTCATCACTGAGAAACTAATTTCAAACAGGAAAAATTAATGCGCAATAAGAAAATAAATGAGACTGGTAAAATATAAAGATAAACAAACCTATAAAAAAATGTCAGTTTTTATTTGAATGAGTTAAATCGTAAAAGAACATAAAATTTTTCCGTTCTAAGTTAAATTTTAACTAGCTACGAACTTTAATGTATTTCACATGTGAAATAGCGGTTATAAAAAACTTAGTTCTTTTGCGAAAACACTAGAATCACAATTTATCAGTGACATTGAATGTAAGATACAAACTGCATAAGCGCTTAGCTCACATATAGGGAGTATTTTGTATTTGCATAGCTTTAGAAACCTATTAGTATATGTTGAGATTTTAAGATATGTGAAGATTGTTTTTAACAAGAACGCATAATATTGTATTTAATACCTTTGTAACTTTTCCTTAAAGTATTAAAATCCCTACAAGTTGATATTCCAACATAGATAGATTACGATTTCAAAAGCAATTTTGTTATATTGTTCCAAGGTATGTAAGCGTCCTATTATGTTTTCTATGCCGTGGGGCGTTAGTTAATTGTGTTCCGGGTAGTGGTTTTAGTGGAGCAGGTATCTACCCTCAGGTAGATAGAATAATAGCGGCCCTTGGTTGAAAAAATTTCAACGTTCGGCATCGCTCCACCCATTGTTCGGCGAGCTTTGTTAACACGTGTATTGGATGCGTACTGTGCGATAATGTTCGCTTTGATTACAGCATTCCGATATACAAAAGTACGCTTTGTGCCGCACCAAATAGACATTCGTGTTTTCTACCTACCTATCTAGGTAGTCTTGAGTTGTGTTATTTATGGTTGCGTCTATGAGTTATGTGGTTATTATGTGTCTTTGGTATGCAGAAGCTACTCAATATTGAAACAACGAAGTATAGAAGGCTCAAGATTTATTCTTTGATTTAAATTTTGAATTTGAACCGATTTGCTAATACATAAAGGGATACTTTTTGACCTACTTCCCAAAAGGAGGTACTCAATATGTCTATGTTTTTTTTTTTAATTAAAGATTCAACATATTCAAAACTCAGATCTTCAAGTACAATGGTGTACATCTTTTGTTTTCCTGTTGAGAAAACCATTTATAAATCATAATATGTGTCTTTTAACATTTTGTTACAGAGTACAGACTTGTTTTCTCTCATAGTAAAGGTAAAAAGACGTTATATGCGCGTGCGCACGCCGCCATTTTTTTCTAAGTGTAAACTTGGCTCTTCCGCAATGGGGAGGGCCGTGCGAACGGAGCGAGGGTCGAGGGAACCGACCTAACGTAAGTTTCTTTTGTTTCACGCGTCATGCTCACACATGCCTGTTACATCGCTAAATACCTTAGCGGAATACAAAGCGACTTACGCATTTTCACTAGAAATGTATGAATCACATGTGAATTGTGCAAGAAGTGTCGAGAATTTTCTATTCCTTTCGTTCCATGGTATTGTAACTGTCTTTTACAGTTGCTCCTATAAGCTTAGTGAACTCAGATATTATATATCAAGAAAGAGACGTCTTTCTTATTTATGTACTTTGCTTGTGAGATATCATATGTCATTCATATTATTTCTTGGAGATTGGAAGGACTAAGACTTGTCAATCAAGCTGTACCCATTATCATGAGTTATGAATAAAAATTACCATTGTAAAACAGCGTCAATTTATGTATCTATACTTCTATACTAATATTATACAGAGGAATGATTTGTATTTTTGTATATTGAAATAACTCAAAAACTATTGGGCCGATTTAAAAAACAAATCATCATAAAAAACTACGTTGTCAATGAGTAACATAGGCTATATTTTTTAATTTCACGCGGCTGAAGTTGCTGGCAAAAGCTTTTTTATTATATTTAGAGTTAACTAAACTGAAATATCGCCTCTTGCAGAATCTGAGACATTAACATTGTGAGTTTGACTTTGATATAATGTTTAATATAAATCTGTTACCTACACAGTCAAGTTGCATAATAGATTGTCGACACATTCATTTAACTGACACTCCCATACATATTGCAATGATTTAGAGTTCGTAATAAACTCTTCTAAGAAACTTAAGTAACATAATAATTATAGACCCGATGTTTAATGATGTTTCTTGTAACGTCTTAACTGACCAAAGAAACGAGACGTGAGGGTCTTTTTAGTAAAAGGTGAAAAACGAGCAAACCATAAGTCGACAAAATAAGGAAGGGAGCATCTGCAGATGCATTACTTATTGTTAACAGGGCAGAACTGGGGACGCAGAGAAAGAAATATTTTCCCCGTGTATGCGCTTCACCCCGGCAGAAAGGGTGGAAAGGGATATATTTCCACTCCATGCCTGTCCCTATGTTGTGAGTAAAACCCATTAAATTAATTTGAAGTTGGTGTAATATTAAATGTATTTTTGTAATTTGTTAATATAGGTAAATCCTTAAAAACCATGTTCTTAATTAAATAAAATTTTAAATGGATGGATGGATGTTTGTCAGGGTTTATAGACTAAACGGCTGAACGGATTTCGATGAAATTTGGTATAGATGTAGATGATCCTCACTTTTGTTTTTTTTTAAGTCCACGCCGACGGAGTACTTGTAGTATACTTTAGTTTGTTAATTAAATGAATTTAATATATTCTCGATTGCTAGTATAAGTTTGCCTGCGGTTGCTGTCTGTCAAAGTAACGGCGGCCGCGTCTCGGCACAGCCTGCAGACTCAATTACCCTCATTGTACACTCGCCTTACATTGTTCGATGTTATTGACAGTGTAATAAAGTTTACGACGGATACGAAAACGAATTTAATGTACCCTTAAGTATTACTTAAGTATCATTAACTGCTGCAGTTAGTTGTAATATCCCTTAGTACAGATTAAATGCAAAAACTATACGAGGGGAACTCCTGACGAATTAACTCCGAGTGCCTAGTCTAATTGTTAGTACATCTTACATCTTAACAATATTATAAATGTGAAAGTTTGGATGGATGGATGTTTGTTCGTTTTTAGCCTAAAAGGCTGAACGGATCTAAATGAAATTAGCAAAGATGTAGAGGATAGTTGGGAAGAACACAGACTACTTTCTTTTGTTTTTATTAATACCACGCGGACAGAGTCGCGGGCGGAAGCTAGTAGAATTATAAGTTTGCTTGTAAAAGACGGTGTTCCCACTAAATAAAGTAAAAGCTCCAGCTACAAACGAGTAGACAAATTTTAAACTTACTTGATGCAAGGCAAGGCAATGCTTGTATAAAAAAAAACTATATGACTCAAAATGTCAAACATGATAACTTGTAATAGCAATACTAATACTAATAGCTAGAATGTAACAACTACTTTGAAATCTTTTAGACACATGGACATAAAAGTCGTTGATAATACAATACTTTTGTAAACTTGGTGGGTATGTGACATGTTGAGGACAAACCAAAATATGTTTTTCTAAGCTACTCGGTCGTTTAAAATAATAGTCGTGACCAAATTAGGACGCACCATTATCTCGTATTACATTTTCGATTTTGTTTTCTTAAGAACAAGTAGTGACGTCATCATTGTTTTTCATCGCCACCATAACAGTATTCTTCAACCGTCAAGAGATTACGAAGCCTCTAGAGAAAAGAGCCAAATCTAAAGAACTGTGAAGCAAGATTAGGTGTAAATGCGCAGCACTTATTCACAGAAATAGTTGAAGATTGTCGTGTATTTAACTGAGTATATTAAAAACCGAAGCGATACAGGGGAATCGTGGCGAACAAAGCGGTAGCGGGCTTGATTGTCGCCAATTAGTTGTAATAACGGCCTTCGCTCGCACTCGGCTCGCCCGGCGCGCAGTAATTTGTCCCCGAGCACCGAACGAACATTCGCTCGTTCGTCGTTTACGATGGAACAAGATTTATGTGTGAAACATTCGAGGTCGATGCCTTCACTCGCCATTTTAGTGCTCGCCTCTCGGTTCGCCTTTATTAAGTTTTTGCCACACCGACACCGCAACGATACCATTTCGATGGAAAGAAGTGTTTCCGAAATGTATATTTAATGGGTTTGAAATTGGCCATTTTTCTCGCGATGGATATGTGTGGAGAATTCTGTTGTGTACTCATTTTTATAATTTGATGCCTTCCTTAGGTTTGTCACAATAATGCTAACGATTTATAAAGCAATTTGTGTTGTAAGATATGTATTCAATTATACATTCAGAAATAAAATATTTTACTATTAATTATTGTTTGTAATAAGATATGTTGCGGAATCTCGTACAGTTTCGTTTAGAGAATACATATCTTTACAAATCATTAACGCAGTTATTAATATTCACGAAAATCAAGAATGTTAAGATTTGAGAACATTTTTGATTTCAAATTACGTAGTTTTACTAACCTGTATTACTACACGATTTCCAAAATGTCAGTAAAATCGTATATGACATCTAATTCTACTAAAATCTTGCAAAGTTTGGATTAAGTTAAACTTGTTGGTACTAAATTGTATACATTTTGCTTGTGGGTATAATCGCAATGTTGTCGACATTTGTTTCCTTTCTAAATGCAAATATTGAGACCATGTGAATGTATCTACAAATCTGTTAGTATACTATAGATTAACATTACTTACAATATAATATTAAGCAATTTACAAGATTATCAACCTATGGAAGAACGAAGAACGAAACAGAATAAAAAATAACCTATCAATGTCCAAGTATATATTTTGATGTTACAAGCTTTTATGATGTAAGAGTAAAACAACTACGTTAAGAAGCACCGATTAAACAGTAAAAAATAAAATTAATACGTAATGCGAAAACTTTGCACCACATGGGGAAATGAATAAACGGATGAACGCGAAATTGGTCAACTGTTAAAGATGTCGAGACAAAATGAACAAAGCAACTTATTTTTATTAAAAAAGTTAAAATTATTCACATTTTAACAATATCAAAAATTACTATTTTCGAGTTGCATGTAAGTAAGGCGAGGCCCGTTCTATGCAACGTGCATGATTCACTCGCTTGTTATTGAGTTCGCATGTGTTGTTTTGGTTGACGCCAATCGTTGCCTACAAATTTCCTATCAGCTATTTCAAACGGGTCAAGTCGTGTATCAAGAAATTTATTTCTTATCCTACGTTGCTTTTTTGTAAGCAAATAATGACGTCAAAGTCCGACATAGATTTTATTCAAATTAGCGTTGCTTTAACATTTTTTTTTTCTTGATTAGCTATTTGTATGTTTACACGTGTAATGCTGGGCAATGTACTTTTTTACGGTTTTAATAATACTAATATTATAAATGAGAAAGTTTAGAAGATTTCGATGAATTTTGATATAGATGTGGAGAAGTAAACCATGATATCTCAATAGTTAAATTAGATCATATTTTTGGTTTACCGCTTTTATTATTCTGTATTCAGTCGAATCTTAATATTAGCTATATTATGACCAATTCGATAGTACACTAGTTCTTAAAATGTATAAGTTCTTTAAAGAGAAGTTATTTATAGAGAAATACACAGACGAATTCTATACAAAAAGTGTAAAGTACAGTTAGCAATTTGCGCAAATGATGTACGCAGATATGTGCTGCCATCTTGATAGGTTAGAATTGAATAGACAAGTAATCAGCTACAAACTGTATTCACTTATCTTCTTTAGTTTTATAGATATTAAAGAAGAGAGGTACGTTTAGTAGCAATTGTTTTAAATATAGATAAATAGTTAAATCACTAATCTCGTCGCTCCATGTGTCATGTCATGCGTCCGCAAAACGGATACTTCGAGGAAAAATCTCCTAAATTAAAATTTCCTGAACTCAACTACTTTCGTTGTCTTTATTTTCACGACATACAGATTTATTCTCGCTACTGTATAGGAGAAACAAGTCGCAACATGGTTCCATGTTTCTAACAAGCGGTAAAAGTGCTAACAGTTGAACGACTGCTGGTCTTGTTTCTAAAATCTTGTTCAATTTCCAACGCATTTTCTTGTGCATTTGTCGACAAAGCATTAACAACAGCGGCGTAAAACCCACGACTGTCATTTCCAGTAAGTGCTTAATATCCGACTTTGTACAGTTATTTCTTCGAAACGAGGCCTACAATCTGCGATCGTTGATTTTTGCAGAGACAAATCCATTTCAGCGCGGCTACGTGAGCACCGAGTGATGAGGGCTAATAACATCGGAGCTGTGATTACGCCGCGCCGGTGTCAGTTCCATGCATCGATGCGTTTGAACTCGCAGATCTGCACACCATATTACCTATGCCGTTACTCTATGCCAGTGTCGCATTAGAGCGCTTTTGAAATTCGAACCCGGTTGATAAATACGTGGCAAAAAAAACCTTCCATAAGTCATTTTTCTAGCAATTTAAGTGCCGACTTTAAATATAAAATGGCATATAAATATATAATTCTAATTCTCTTTTTATTTATGACTTTCATTTTGTACCTCTACCTAAATGCAATACAAATTGCATTCAAATGTAATAGCCATGTGAAAACCGTCATAATAATTGAACGAAGAATGAACGGATTGCAATATCGTATACATTACACAAGACTTTATTCATGAGGTCGTAAATCGTCCGTGTGAACCGACGCTGCAGTTGCCGAGCTTTATGTGAATCTTGTCTAATTTTACGACGTGCGGTATGTTCAAATTGCATTATATAATTTCATATCTCACCTCATTTACGTGCTCGTTAAAAAACTATGTGCCGGCGGCTGAAACTTTATTAGTGCAGTATAACTGCGGTGTGAAAGGACCGCCATGCTTGCCGTACTGCTTTTACGACCACCTTATCAATGTTCTTGTGTTTACAATGTTGAATTGTTCTTGTTCTTGTATGTTTGGTTATTAAAACTGTTAGTTATTACTCTTTGTATATTTTCTGTTAACAAAGAAGTTAAAAAAGATTATAAAAAAAAGACAGTTAATTTCAAGATTCATTCACACGAAATGATACTTCGTAACAAGCTACATGTCTTAAATTATTCATCAATACCTATTTGTATCAACGATTGCACTAACTGGGTGAATTAATCGAACGTTCGGTGCGGTGCCTTGTAAAGGACGCGATAAGGAATTAATTAGCCATTGCTATGTAGGCCAGTGGCCGTGGCCGGTGGCCAATCTATTGGGACTTTGGTACACGACAGCGATTCATTCACGCGACTGCAACATACTCGTAGCGACGGTGTCCCCACGCTACAAGTTTTAATATCGACACAGCTTAATCTAGCGAACGGAGAATTAATTTAATGTGGAATTTGATTTTAAATAAAGTAACTGCAATAAATAAGTACACACTTATATTACCTTTACCAAAACTTTCTTAAAAACGTCCGAATATCTGTTTTTTCTATATTTGTCGGGAAAATCCGTTACATTAGGATTTCCCAATTATTATTTAGCACTTCGTCAAAGAATGCATGCATGGTAAATCTACAACGTCGTCATTAAATTAACCACAGAAGTTAACCACTAAGTAAGTTACATATTAAAGTAAAAATAATAATTTATATGGCGGAAATGAAAATAGTTTTGATTGGGTTTTGATAAAAGAGCCATTAAAAATGCTTATCTTTAGATGTTATAATGGATTAAAGTCTTTCTAGGTACGGGTTAATGGATATTCAATTGGACTCGCTAATTGCGGGCAATTGTCCGGGAGTTCGGGCAGTTGTCGCGGGCGAGCTGTTTACGGACAATTGCTCGGGTTTCTGTGCAATTGGAAGCGGCCATGCAAGACGCCTGTGAGCCACGCTAAATGCTCAAATACTTCGTGCCTGTCGATTGTGGAATTGAGATGGCGGTATCACGTGGAACGTGAATGGAATAATGTCTCTAGATGTAGTATAATTATGACTTCAATCTAAAAATGTCATGTTAGAAGTTATGAAGTAACCATTCTTTGTAAAGCGTTAACTGGAATATTCTAATGGTAATAGTTCTTTCTTTTGTCTTTGTTTTTACGAGAAATTGTGAAATAAAAAAACGTAGACTTAGTAAAACCATACTTTTGTAGCTTTATAAACAACTAGTTTTTGCCCGCGACACCATCTGCGTGGAATAAAAAAACCAAAGTGAGTAGACTATGTGTTCTTCCAGACTATCCTCATCATCTGTAGCAAATTTTATCGAAATCCGTTCAGCAGTTTAGGCTACAAACTCTAACAAACATCCATCCATCTAAACTTTCGCATTTATTATATTACTAGCTTTTACTCGCGACTCCGTCCGCGCGGAATCAAAAAAAAATAAATGTGAGTAGCCTATGTGTTCTTCCAGAGTATTCTCTACATCTATGCCAAATTTCATCGAAATCCGTTCAGCCGTTTAGGCTACAAACTCTAGCAAACATCCATATATCCATCCATCCATCCATCCAAACTTTCGCATTTATAATATTAGTAAGAAGTATGAAGTACGATTATTATATTTTAGCAAGCAAACTTAGTAAATCTATCAATTTTTATAAGAATGGCGTGTCGCATTGCCCTTGATGGCATTACCTTCAGACATAAATTAAACATTTGTAGGATATTAACGTCAGCGAGCGGATTTCCTTCATCAGATACGGCACCACCTCCTGCAATTCACTATTGTGTAATTATCTTGCTGAGAATGTAACTGCACGATTGCTGTTGTCACAACTTAGTGTCAAAGTCACGACATGACTGTCATGCTTGGTACACACTTGGACAGCTCCAGTTAGTGTTCACATTATGCCAGTTGCACATCAGTCTAGTTTAACTTTACTGACCACGTGTGAACCAGTTATTATTCGAACAAGAATGGATTCACAGAACGAGTTGGAAAGAAAGGGAGACATAAAAGATCGTGCTGGTCAAATTCTATCAAAACCTCATCAAATAAATTCCCATAGTTAAACTATGAAAATGTCTGCTTATGAACATAAAGATTAAAATTAAAACAAGTGCCACCAATAGGACAAAACATACTAAATTCCTCTGGATTGCTAAGCTAAGGTTATTACCTACTAATTGGAAAATATTGAGAGCCTTATTCGAAGACCAATCTATTCATGAAAAACTTTATTACGCTGTTCTTGTGGAAAATTACAAAATAATATACCACTACGCGTGCAAAAAATAGTAAATAATAATATTATATCCGAATATTACATAATGATATGAAATCATATGAAACAACAATAACTACATATTACTTCCACAATAATAAAATCCGTGGAAGTAATTTCCATCGTACGTTAGTGCGTTATGAAGTCTGACAACGCAGGGGACAATGCTGTGTGGCCAGCGCTTGCCAAACTAAACAGTCTGTATGTTTTTACTTATTCGGTTAGATAGGAGAAATATTCAAATATTCTAATGTGCGCACACCTTTATTCAACTATCGCACAACTGTTGGGCGTTTGTGGATTATTTCGCAACCAACTCAACTGTCTGTACTACTAAAAAATCAAAGCGCGAGAAAACCTTTGTGCGATACTTTAGTCAAAGGTGTGCGCGTATTAAGTGTGACAGGAGGTGAGAATGCATTAACCTTTTGGCTTATAAGAAAAATCAAAAAATCTCCTTTATTTTTTTTTAATTGGGAATGTTAATTAGTAACTATTTTTGTATTTGATTTCAAATATACAATAGATTGAGCACCGATGGTATGGTTGCATAACCGTGCCGACAAATTGCGAAGCACAACGCGTGTCGCCGTCGCCGGTGTCAAAGCGATCCATTGACTCTGTGTCGGCAGGCGAGCGTGACGGCGGGGGCCCACTGCTCATTGCCCACAACACTGTCTAACAGTGGGAATTTACAAACATTAACGTATGAATACATCGCTTCGCTAGTTACTCTTTATTCTAGATTCATGTAGAAATGTGCGTTTTAATTTTGATAATTAAATTTCTTTATTTTTGTTCATGTCATAACATTAATGGCATATCCTGTGTAACACAATGCTGTCAAAATACTATCTGATTGATGTGAATCGTAGTTTAATGGCGTGCACACTTGAAACTAAACTATCGCACAACTGTATAGTTTCGCTATTGCTATGAGTATGGGTGCGCACACTACTCGATTTTTGACCGACTTCCCAAAAGAAGGAGGTACTCAATTCGTCTGTATGTTTTGTTTTTATTTTATGTGTGTTACTGCCTAACTCCGCCGCTAGTGGACCGATTTTGATAATTCTTTTTTTATCCGAAAGGTAATGCTTGCAGGTGGGTCCTATTTTTTGTTTGATTTTTTTATTTGTATAATTAAACAGTTGAGTTCGTTGCGAAACAATCGACAAACGCACAACAGTTCTGCAATTGTTTAGACAAAAGTGTGCGCGTGCTCTAATAGTTGAAGTACCTAGCACTAATGTGGTGCATGGCTTCTAACTTCTAGCTATAAAATTATTCATTTCCTATAATAAAAAGTCTTATCCAACAATATAACTATACGTAATTAGACTAATTATTGTGCCATTATTTGCATCGAAAAAAAAAACATACCGTCGAATTGAATACCTCCTTCTTTTGGGAAGTCGGTCAAAAACCGATTGAATAACCATCTAAGGCAAGACAATATAACTTTATTTTCAACTAGCTTTTGCCCGAAACTCCGTCCGTGTGAAATTTAAAAATAATAAAAGAGAAATGGAAAAAAATAGTCTATGTTACGCATAGATAAATTACCTTTCTAACGGTGAAAGAACTTTTAAAATCGGCCCAGTAGTTTTTGAGCCTATTTATTACAATCAAACAAACAAAGTTTTCCTCTTTATAATATTAGTATAGATTATCATATGCAGTTTGAATTATTGCGTTTTTTGACCAACTTCCCAAAAGAAGGAGGTACTCAATTCGTCTGTATGTTTTTTTAACCTAACGGATATGCAAATAAATCTCCGTTCCTTGATATAATGTAGACAAAGAATTAACGTAACTAAAAAAGATATTGCGATAATAAAAACCGTTAAAATAATGAATTTGAAGCCTTATATGTTGATATTCAAGTACAATTTTGCGAAGATTGAAATGATATTTCTCTACAGTGAGTTAGGAACTGGCTTTAAATAGCCGAGTGCTAATGACAGTGTACTTGGAAAGTACGGGCCGCATCCTGCACCGACTGGCGACCGGACAAGACAAATAAATACTAACTGTTGATTTAACATCATAAACTTGTTTATAGTAACTTTTCATAGCCCTTAGTATATTATTATTCTATAATAAATTATTACATTAATCATGTAAATTTAAATTAGTAAGTTAGATGAAGTGTTTTAATAAAATATCAATTTTCGTAGATACTGTTAAAAGATATATAAACGCGTAACTATCGCATAAGTTTACAATGTAATAATAATATTTAGTGTGTCTAAAACACTATTCGGCAATTCTATTAGTTTTTTTAATACTTCGTCAGCTCAATTTCAAATTTAGGTGAAGT